TCCAGTTATGTCCCCAATGCTTACAGTGCATGGCTCACAGAAGGTGCTGAGTACCCGTGTATGGAATGAATGAATGAATGGATGGTTGAAGGGATGGATGGATGGATGGATGGATGGACGGACGGATGGATGGGCATCTGTGTCTGAGTGTGTTTATGTGTCTCACCATGTGTGTTGCGATGGGGCCTGGTATGAGGACATGTGTCTCTCTGTAAGTCCATGATCTGTGTGTGCGTTTGTGTCTCCATGTCTCTGAACTCCTTATTTGGGTGGGGTGAGGAGCTTTGAAGCTGCATCCGTGTTCTGTGTCTTCCTGTCTGTCCTGGCATCTGAGTGAGGAGAAGAAAGAAGACCTGGCCTTTTCTGAGTCCCCTCCCACTTGCCCCCTCCCCAACCTGTTCCCAAAAGATTGTAGACAAGCCTAACTGTGGGTCACACAGCGACCTTCCGGGGAATCTAAAAACTCCCTTTTTCTAGAATCCCCCGCCAATAGGCAGTGAGGGGGCAAAGCATACGGGGGTGGTAGCCAAGCTAGGGGTGCTTCAGAGAAGTCATCTCAGCCCCCTTTAAGGGTGCCAATCATCCAGCCTGAATGATCTAAGGTGGCAGAAAAAAGGACTGAAGTTAAATTTTAGGCAGGATTTCCTGACCCTATAAATGTGAGATAAGAAAGGGGTTGTGCAGGTTTATAGAAGTTAGGGTTTCACATGTGAGAAAGGACTCCACAAATGCTGGGGAGAAAACATCTGATGCTCCCTTCTGGTATGGGATTGCTCAGTTGATGGAAGACAGTATCTTGATCACTAAGGCGCACAGAAGGGCACCTTAGATACACGAGTCCAAACTGATCAATTTTATCACAACAGAACAAAGGATTTTTCTTCACCAAAGGTTAGTACAGGACAAAGTTAATAGATGACAGGAAACATTATTTGCAAACTCTAAAAAGAAGAAAGATTAATATCTAGACAATACAAAGAATTCATGCAGATCAACAAGAAGACAGAAATCCCTGTAGAATAAAGAGCACAAGATGTGAACAACTTGCAGAAGAATCACACAAGGCCACTTTCTTTTCCAAGGAAACACCAAATGGAAGATAATGCCAGTGCTGCAGGAGGACCCGGACACCCAAGGGCCCTGGAATAGGAGGCTGAGGTCACAGCCAGGTCAGGGTCAGGGTCAGGTTTGGGGTCCAAGCTCAAAGAGGCAAGGCAGAGGACAAGAAGTAGGTTCCTGTCACCAAGCTGGGCTGCCTGACCAAGGGCATGAAGATCAAGTCCCTGGAGGAAATCTATCTCTTCTCCTTGCCCATCAAGAATCTGAGATCATTAACTTTTTCTTGGAGGAATCCATCAATGACAAGCTTTTGAAAATTATGCTCATGCAGGAGCAGCCACATGCTGGCCAGAAGACCCAGGTCAAGGCATTTGTCGCTATTGGGGACTACAATAAACATGTAGACCTGGGTGCTAAGTGCTCGAAGGAAGTAGCCACTACTGTCCCTGGGGCCATCATCATGGCCAAGCTCTCTGTTGTCCCTGTGTGGTGAGGCTACTAGGGGGACAAGATCAGCAAGCCCCGAGCTGTCCTTTATAAGGAGACCGGGCACTATGTCTCTGTGCAAGTGTGCCTCTTCCCCACCCACCGGAGCGCTGAGATCATCTCAGCCCCTGGGCCCAGGAAGCTGCCATGCTGCTGGCCAGTATCGACAACTGCTACACCGCAATCAGGGGCTGCACTGCCAGCCTGGGCAACTACGCCAAGGCCATGTTCACCGTCATCTCTAAGACCTACAGCTATCTCACCGCTGGCCTCTGGAAAGAAACCGTGTTCACCAAGCCTCCCCGTCAGGAATTCACTGACCATCTGGTAAAGCCCTACGCCAGAGCTTCTGTGCAGAGGACCCAGGCTGCAGCTGTGGCCACCACATGATTTTATACAAGGAAAACAAAGTGAATTAAGCTTGTTAATAAAAAGAGAGAAAAAGAAACACACAAGGCCATCAGACATGATGAGTAGTCAAAGAAATGCAAATGAAAACAAGAAGCTGTCATTTACACCTAGTAGACTGGCAAAAGGCGGAAAGCTGGGTAATGCCGAGTGGGGCTAGGGATGCAGGGACAGCCATTCTGGAGGGCACTATGTTTCCTCCTCAGGTCAAAGCAGCCTGCGACCCAGCAATTCTGCTCCTGGTGTCATCCTAAAGAAGAGGAAGGGCATGAAGATGTCCACTGCAGTGTTATTTACAGCGGTGGCCAGAGCTAGAGACAGCCTGAGTGTCCACCCCTCTGGAGAGAGTAACGGAGCCTGTTGAGGGTGGTGGGCTACACCTGCACAGAGGAACACAGTGGGTGTTTGCACATAGTGCTTACAGTGATGAGTTGTGAGTCACTGGAAAACAGAAATTCATGAGTCCATACCTGTAGTAAGTAAATAAATGCACACCTTTGTGAAGAGGGCAAAGATGTGCTCTTGCGAGTAGGATGCTGACGCTGGCTGGCAGATGGAATGAACTCTGAAGCTGGAAAACCAGGTCGTACTCATCGTGGTAGAGACTGGGTCAGACAAGGATCATCAGTGGGCACTGAATCTGTGGGAAATCTGTGATGAGGAACAGAATATTTGCATGTTCTTAACACATCTCCCCCATAGATTGCCTGTTGGCTACAAAGAGAGGAAGTGGTAACTGTACAGAGGGGACACCACCGTGACCGAGTGAGCCAAGTGAGGGGCAATGGACAGGTTACCTCCAGATGCCCCTGAGGAGAAGGACACGCCACCGCTGCAGTATTCCATCTGCGGACACATAATGTCAACCTAATCATGAGGAGACACTAAACAAACCCCAAATGAAAACATTCTATTAAGGGGCAGGGGCTGTGTCATTCATAAGTGGCAATGTCATTTAAAAAAAGAAGGCTGTGGGAATGTTCCAGATTCAGGAAAGATAAAGAGATGAGACAATTAAAGGAAATGCCTGAGCTTAGGCTAGCTCTTATAGGTAAAAGAGACACTACAAAGTACATTATTGTGTGGCTAAAAATCACTGGAATATGGACAGAATCTGAGATGAAAGTGTGGTATAGTGTCGAAATGATGAGGTGGTAACTCTTCTGTGGTTATAGCAGAGAACATGCTTACTATTAGGAGATATACTCCAAAGTATTTAGGGGTGAAGAGCCAAGATGTAACTCACCCTCAAATGGCTCAGGAAAAAAATTGTGTCTGTGTGTGTGTGAGAGAGAGAGAGAGAGGGACAGTATGTGAGGTGAAACATTAACAGGCAAATCTAGATAAAGATTATAGGACTGTTCTTTGTACTGTTTTTATTCTTGCAACTTTTTTGTTAGTTTGAAATCACTCGCAAGTGAAATTTTTTTTAAGTTTTAAACAGCTCTTAGAAAAGTAAATGAAACAAGAATCTTATTATAAAGCCCTTTGTACAAATTAAAAATACAAACCTGCAAGATGGCAAAACACATTTGGCAAGGACCCACAGAACAGAAATGGCAGATGGGCAAGGTAAATAAAAGGAAATCACAGACCAGCCCACTGCAGAAGGCAGTCCTCAGCAAGACCAGTGAGGACGCTGTGGGCTGCGTGGGTTTAAGGGAGGGTTTCACTTCACTTTCTGCACCTGGGCTGCCCCTGTTTCCCAGTGAGATTCCTTCCACACCACCTCCTGGGCCGTCCCCATGGCCACCTCCCAGGGGTGTGCTCAGTGTGGGGCTGAAGATCTGCCCAGACAGGGGAAGCTGCCCACCAGACACCCCAGGCAGGCCTGGCTCTTTGGAGGTCCCTGTCCTCAGTCTCCACTGTCCTCTCCCCCTACATGTCAGGGCTCCTGACACCAAGCCCCCGCCCACAGAGTACCCTCGGCAAACAGAGGAGTTCTGTGGCAAACTCTATCCGATGTCTGTCTAGCAAATGCACTGAGCCAGCCCCTGTGCTGAGCACTGGGATACAGGACTTCGGGGGGAGTGGTCCCTGCCCAGAGGCAGCTTGGCGGTCAGCAGCGGTCAGTGGCAGAGCTGGCCTGTTGCAGCCCAGGGAGAGAGAATGGGGATGTCAGGGAAGGGGAGGGTCACTAACTGGGTTCGGGAAGCTTCCTGGTAAAGAATACAAGAGAATTGCCCTGGCCAGTGTGGCTCAGTTGGTTGCAGCATCATCCCATAACCAAAAGATTGTGGGATTTGATCCCTGGTCCTGGCCCATGTGATCCCGGGTCTGGGCGTATACTGGAGGCAATCAATTGATGTTTCTCTCTCTCCCTTCTTCTCTCACTAAAAGCAATGAAAAAAAAAAATGTCCTTGGTAAGGATTTAAAAAAAAAAAAAGAAAACAAAAGAGTTGGCCTGTGAAGCATGGACGTGGGTAGGAGTTCATAAAGTATTCCAAGCAGGGGGAACGGCACAAAGGGCAGGGCAGGGTTGCCTGCAAGGACAGTGAGGGAAGAAGGGGGTTCCTGGTGGCCTGCATCTCTACAGCAAACCTGGGGGACCACACCTCCCTGCATTCACCCTGCCTCCCCTCCCCCACGGGGCAGACGTGGGAGATGCTGGGAGCACTGCAACAGGCAACTTTCACTCAGGACCAAGTGCGGGGACACAGACACAGTAAGACCAGAACCAAGGAGCCAGACTCTGTGTGTATTTTCTCCTTCACCCCACCCGACATGACCCCAGCCCCAGCCACCGTCAAAAAAGGACCTGACCCTGACGGCAACATTTCAGCCCTTCTTGTCATCCTGCTGAGGCTCCTGAGATGGAAAGAAAAGAGAGAAAAAAAGTGTTAATAACAATGATGACAACTCCACAAAAATAATAGCGTTGCCCTGGCCAGTGTGGCTCAGTAGGTTGGAGTGTTGTCCTGTAACCAAATGGTTGCAGGTTCAATTCCCAGTAGGGCACATACCTAGGTTGTGGGTTCCATCCCCAGGCCAGGCTCCTATGGGAGGCAACTGATTGGTGCTTCTCTCCCACATCGATGTTTACCTCTCTCCCTTCCCCTCTTCCTTTCTCTTTCTCTAAAAGCAATGGAAAAATGTCCTCAGGTAAGGATAAAAAAATAGTATTAGCGTCTATATCAGGTTTACTTTGTGTTAGGCACCATGCTACACTTTCTAAGGACTACAACACCCACTTGTGTGTCCTTGCCATTTTTCAGACACACCTATCTATCACAGGGCCTTTGCATGTGCTGTTCCCTCTGCTTGGAATATTTTGTAACCACCTGGTTCGATTCCTTCTTTCAAGTGTTTAAGTATCACCTTCCCAATGAGGTCTCCCTGACCCCTCAATTTAGAGTTGAAAAGCCTCCCAGCACTCCCCACACCCCTTCCCTGCTGTATTTTTCCTCTCACCACTCATCTCCTTCTGAAATGCTTTCATTTGCCTGTGTCTTATTCATTGTCTGCCGCCCCACCCCGTACAACGTCAGCTCCATGAGGCAGCGGTCTGTATATGTTTTGTTCACTACTGTATCATTCCCAGAGCCCAGAACAGTCTCCAGCACATTGTCCATACTTGGTAAATAAAGTGAAACCCACTGAGGTAAAAGCTATCATAAATAGTTTTTACTTTACTGAGGAAGAAACGCAGGTACAGAGGGGTTAAGGTGTTTGCCCCTGGTCACACAGCCAGTAAATGACAGAGCTAGGATTACACCCCCCAGATCTGTAACATGGAGTATTGTTGTTCTTGTTCACCCAACATTCCACCCCCATTATCCTTCCCACCAGGTTCAGCGGGACCAACTCCACCCCCAGCTCCAAGAATGGGCATATGACTCAAGACTGGCCAATGACAGCACTACATTCCCATGGGCCTCAGTGATTGGTTCAAGGATGGACATGTGACCTAAACCAGGCCAATGGGAACCTCCTGTGGGAGATGAAAAAACATGAGGTCTGGAACATATTTCAAATATTATGTGCAAAAAAAAAAAAAAAATAGGGAAGAAAATAGGTGAAATAAGACGAGAAAGATGGTGATAGTTGACCTGGGCAATAGGTACAGGGAGTTTATTACACTAGTCTCTCAACTAGTGTGTATATATCTAAGTGTTTCCACCAAAAAAGGTTTTAAAAATTATAGCCTCCATTTGTATAAAATTCTAGAAAAAGCACACTAATCTGTGGTGACAGAAAGCAGATCAGTTGTGTCCTGGGATAAGATAGAGTCTGGGAGAAATCACAGAAGTTTCTGAGGGAACTTCGGGGGGTGATGGATACGTTCTGCATCACCTTCATTTTGGTGATGGTTTCACAGATGTATTCATATGTCAAAACTCACGTACTGTTCCTTACATATCACGCCTCGATGAAATTGAAAACAAATGTAAAAATAGATGTACCACAGATGTATTAAATCAGTAGCAGATTAAAAATAAAATAAAATTTAAAAAGTCAGTAGCAGCTTGCAAATGAATATAAACTAAGTGGCTTCAAAATTCGGTGCCGGTGATAAACACATCACTGCGCATGAGCTTCGATACCGTCAAACAGCGACGTCAGCGGCAGCACTTCTACAGCGGCGCTCCGCCCTGCGCCTGCGCCTGCGCCGGCCAATCCCCTGGGCACGTGTGGCTACAGAGCACTTGAAGTGTGTCTGGTATGATTGTTAATTTGAGTTTTTAATGTATTTAATTTTAGTTAATTTTAAATTGAAAAACCACATGCTGTTATTGGATAGCTCAGCTTTACAACTAAAAGCTTAAAAAATAAATCTAGAATTTAGCTGGGGGGTGGGAATAAGAAGTGGGAAGGGGAAAGACAAACATATAAATAAATAAATAAACAAACAAATAAATCGATCTAAAGCTATTTTGAAAATAAATTTATAGCTGACATACATTGAACTTTACTCTGGTCTCTGCATGATTTAATAGCTTATATGAGGCACCTCACAGAATCATCTCAACACCCCCATTTTACAGATGAAAAATCTGAGGCCCAAAAACGGTGTGGATGGCTTGTCCTGATGACAACGCTGAGGACTGGCTGAGCTAGGACTGGGGCTGGGGCACCTGTGTCCTGCCTCCTGTGGGGCTCCTCACCCACGGCCCAGCCTCCACCCCTCCCTCCTCACCTCCAGCTCACCAGTTGCCTGCTACATTTTCCGGATCCCTTCATTGATAACGTTCACAATTTTCTTCAGCCTGGCCTCATCCACAAAGCCATCACCTTTCTGGACACAGGGAGGAAAGAGCACGGATGTGTGTCTCCCATGGTCCGGGACCCCAGCACCACCCTCCTGCCCTTTCTGGGACCCTCACTCAGAATCACCTTCTTTGAATGAACCAATTTTCCATCCACAAACACTTCAAACTCCCCAGTAGCCTGTGCGGATATGTCCTCCTCCTGGGGAGGGAATGTTGGGGGTGAGGGAAAGCTAAGAGCTCCCCTCCAAGCCCCTCGGGGGCTCTCCGACCCCTGACAACCCCCACTCCCCCGGCCACCATCACACTCACAAAGAGTAGACAATTTGGAAACTGCTGCTCCAGACTCTTTTTCAGTAGAATGTACTGGGGGGAAATGAAATCATGTGACCACAGGGTCACAGATCTTGCAGGGAGTAGAAATAGAAACTCCCAGATTTCATGTCCCACACTCTTCCCACCTCCAAAACCAAAACTACTCACCCGGAGGTTATAGCTTCAGAGGCCACTGGAGGCCAAGGACAAAAGGAGGGAGGCAGAGAGAGACAGAAGGCACCACATTAGTATTTCCCCAAGCCCAGAGGGACCCTGTGAGCACCTGAGTCAGATCACGTCCTTGCCCTGCTCAGAGACCTCCCATAGTGCCATCTTACTCCGGGCAGAAAACCACAGCCCTCCCCATGATCCACAAGCCCCCACAGGATCTGCTCCTATGCCTTTCGGCCCCATCTCCTCCCACTCTGCCCCCCGCCAACTCCACTCCCGCCTCAGGGGCCTCCTAGCCTTGCTTTCGGCACCCAGGCATGCCTTGTTCAGAGCCTTTGCACTGGCTCTTCCCTGTGCAGGATGCTGTTCCTCTGGTATCTGCATGGCTCTGTCTCTCCCTTCCTTCAGGTCCCTGCTCATATGTCACTTTCTGAGTGATGGCTTCCTGACCACCCCAGTTAAAACTGCTATCCCTCCCAAGATGCCCTTCATTCACAGCACTGATCACCTTCTAAGATACTAGATAATTTGCTATGTGTCATACATACTCCACACCAAAATGTCAGTACCACAAGGACAGTAATCTCTGTCTTATTCACTGCTGTGTCCCTTGTAGGTCTGGCATGTGGGAGGTACTTAATAAACAGTTGTTGAATGAATGAAATAATGAATTCATGGAGTCAGAGAAAGAGATAGAAAGGAGATGGGCAGAGAGAGGGGGAGATGAGGAGACAGGTAGGGAGAAAGAAACACACACAACATGGGGAAAGGAGAAGAGATGAACTGGGGGCAAGGACAGCCCTGGGTGGAGACGGGAGAGGGAAAACGTGGTAGTCATAGGGGAAGAGAACCTTGTAGAGCAGGACAGCGGCATGGGGATTAAAGGAATGTCCCTCCTTCAGGGACATTCAGTCCTGCATCTCAGGGAGGTCAAGGAAGGTCATTTCTGTCACTGTCATCCTTGACACAAAGAGACACTCCAAATCTGAGCCAGCCTGCACTTAACAGACTCTTTCTCATCACTGCGAAGGCCCATCTCAAATGCCACCTCCTAAGAAAGGCTGTCCCTAACCACCCAATGTGAAGTTCCCTGCCTCATGTCCTCCTTCGGAGCACTCTGTCTTTGGGTCTGCCTTGTCTTGCCTCCCCTGAGGAGGAAAGCTGGTGGCTTTGCTCAGCACTTCATCCCCAGCTCAGGCCTGGCCAATGGAGGGCAGGCCACTCTGTAATGAAGGGAGGGAGAGGGGGAGGTAGGAATTTGAATCAATGAATGAAGCTTGGAGCTAGGACTCACTTCTGGCAGCAGAGCAGGAATTTGAACCCAGAGCCCTTTAGCCCCCAAGAAATGATAGAGGGAGCCCCAAGTTTCCCACCTGGCAGTTGGGACTTCCTCCCCTCACCCTACCTTCAAATCCCCAAAGCCCCAGCACCTACCCTTCCTGCCCTTTCCCCATGGGGAGGAAGGCACGTGTGAGTGGGGATGGCCCCTCACCAGTAGATCACTCTAATTAGGATCTTGTTGTCCACTTCTAAGTACTGGCTGGTGGAGGCAAATGTGTTGGCAGAAATAGGTAAGGAAGTGGCCAAGGGGGCAGTCCCCAGGATGGGCGTGGAGATAGGTCCAGCCGTGGAATCAGTCAACTTCGTGTCCACTGGATCTGCCCCCAAGGCGGACGTGAGAGTGGGCCCCAGTAAATCAGTGGCCGATGGAGCGAGCTCAGGAAGGGGCTCTTGCGTGGTTCCGGATCCACTGGTGATTGATGGGAGAGCCTTGCCGAGGCGTGGCCCCAAGGGTAGGGCGGAGCTCCGTAAGGACTTCAGGTCAGAGGCCTTGGGCGGGAGCAGGACTGGGACCAGGATCGCGGATGAGATTGGTGTTAAGGGCTTGATCGCAGTCGGGGTTCTGCCCCGGGTCACGGCCTGGAGTGGAATCGGGGTCCGGACCGGGGTCGGGGTCGGGGTCGGGGGCCGGACCAGTGTCGGGATCGGGGTCGGGGGCCGAACCAGGATCGGCGTTCTGACCGCAGTCGGGGCCGGGGCTGGAGTCAGGGACCGGATCGAGGCCGGAGCTGGAGTCAGGGACCGGACCGGGATCGAGGGCCTGGCGGGAGTCAAGGACCGGACCGGGATCGAGGGCCGGGCCGGAGTCAGGGACCGGACCGGGATCGAGGGCCGGGCCGGAGTCAGGGACCGGACCGGAGTCAGGGACCGGACCTGGTTCGAGGTTCGGGCCGGAGTCAGGGACCGGACCTGGTTCGAGGTTCGGGCCGGAGTCAGGGACCGGACCGGGATCGAGGGCCGGGCCGGTGTCGGAGCCCGGACCAAGGCGGAGGTCCGGGCCGGAAGGGGGGCTGAGGCCCGAGTCTGGTTGTTCATGGGGGCCTGCGGTACCCGGGAAACCCGGGCTGGGATCCCAGCCTCCCTCCTTCGTGGGGCAGAGATCCTCGCCCGCACCAGGGTTCTAAAACGGGACGGGACCACAAGGGGGCACTGTTACACCGAGTTCCACTCACCGCGCGGGTTCTGTTGCCCCAGGGCCGGGACGTGGCAGGACCTCCACTTTTTGCCTCATGATTCCCATCATCTTTACCCCCACCAAGACGGAAAGGAACGCGCGGATTACCCCAGAATTCCCTCATTGCCGTTAACATTCATGTGTTCGGTGTGTTTATTGCGTGCCTATCGTGTGCACGGTCCCGTGCTGGGTGATTTTGCAGACAGAGCAGCGATCAGGAAAGCGCTGGCCCAGTGATCAGGCTCCCTGTCCAGCGGGGGAGACATACCCTCACTAAACAATGGCCTACTGCGGTCAGGACTGAGGTGCTGGAGGCACCGGCAGAGAGGGGTTAGAGATGTGGTGAGGGAAGCTCCAGGACCTGTGGGATCCCAGAAGAAGCGCCAGAACGAGTTTGGGGCAGAAAGGGCCCTTAGAAGAGTAGACAAATGAGAAACCTGGACAAAAATAATAATAACAACAAGAGATTTCACATTTGTGTAGCGCTAAGTGCTACACACACGCCCACGTGGCAGAGCCAGGATTCAAATGGATGCTGTAGGCCTCCGGAGTCCTGGTGCAGAGGAAGAATTCTTACCACACTGTGAGCGCCTCCAGGGATTTTTATCTTGTTCTCCGCTGAATTCCCAGCTCCTAGAATAAGGCCTAGCACACAGTAGGTGCCCAATAAATATTTCATTTTTTATTTTAAACAAACTAGTTTAACTAATACTTAGAAATGGGAAGCATGGCCGGTGTGGGTCAGTGGATTGGAGCAGCCTCCCTTAGTCCAAAAGGTTTGATTCCCAGTCAGAGTGCACACCCAGGTCATGGGTTCAATCCCCTATTAGGGCAAGTAAAACACCCCCCCCCCCCCCCGCTCCCACTGATGTTTCTCACATCACATCAGTGTGTGTGTGTGTGTGTGTCCCTCCCTCCCTTTCTCTCTAGAAGAAACGAAAAAATTTACTTGAGGGAAGATTAAAAATAATTTTTTTAAAGATTTTGTTTATTTATTTTTAGAGAGAAGGAGAGAAACATTGTCTTGCCACCCAGGCATGTGCCCCAATTGGGCATTGAACCTGTGACCTCTCGGTTCGCAGGCTGGTGCTCAGTCCACTGAGCTACACCAGCCAGGGAAAAAATGAAAATTTTTTAAGAAGTGGGAAAAATAGCCCAGGCTGGTGTGGCTCAGTGGATTGAGTGCTGGCCTGGGAACCAAGGGGTCCCCGGTTCCATTCCCAGTCCAGGGCACATGCCTGGGTGGCAGGCTGGGTCCCTGGTAGGGGGGCATGTGAGAGGCAACCATACATTGATGTTCCTCTCCTCTTTCTCCCTCTAAAACAAATAAAGAAATAAAATCTTTTAAAAAATAAAGAATGAAATGGGGAAAATAGCACAGAAAATTCCTGTGTAACTTTCACATATAAATAAGTAATGATATCTTATGTACCACAAGATGTAAAGCCAGGACACTGAGACTGATCCCATATTACAAAGTACAGCAGACCTCATTCAGATTCGTGGCAGGGTTTCAAACAGAAGAGTGAACCACCACTGTGCTTCCCAGTCCTTGAGCCCTTCCTGTGTTAAACCTTGGACCAAGAAAGACACCCAATTTTCTGTATGATGCTAAGGAAGTCTCTACCCCACCCCTCTCTGGACTTCAGCTTCCCCTCTGGGAAATGCACTTTCTTCTTATAGATAATATTGAAAACTAACATTTACTGGGCATCTATTATTTGCCAGTTTTTAATAAAATTCTTTGCACTTATTATTTAATATTCACAACTTTCTCAAGTGGATTCCACTATCATTCTCATTTTACCAGTAAGGACGTTAAGGCACAGAGGAGTGGAACAGTTGTTCAGATAAGTGGTGTAACCAAGATCTGAACCCAGGCAGTTTGACTCCCGTGCATTCGTAGGCTTTTTATTTTACTTATTTTTTTTTGGAGTGATCATTTAGGTTACTTTATGTACTATTGCCATTGAGCTAAATACAACACAGTTTAGCCTGAAAGATTTAAAGCTTGTCCAAAAGAGAAAAAAAATTACAAGTTACCCCTTGGTGTGGAATGCCTTCTACCTTAGTCCTTTGGAGCTCTGCTTCCTTTCCCCTGTAAGGTGAATAATTTGGACCAGAAAAGCTTTTCCTTCCATGTGAGCTCTAATTATATGGGATGATCTTCCTTGTTCCAGAAGTTGGCACTTTAGGCTGAGTCTGCAGCAGCCTGCAAGGCAAAGCCATAGAGCAGGGCCTACTGACTCAGGTGGGTAGGAGATTCTTCCCCATGAGGGTGAATCAGAGAACTTTCATCATCCCTCTGTTCAATCCAGCCATCTCTGTTCCTGTGATGACTAATGGATGTTCATGGTGATGATGCCAAGACTCTACTAGGTGAGGCATCCTTTAGACCAGGAAGCATATCAAAGGGGGAATCCATGGAACTCAACTGCCTGCCTTCAATTTATAAGCAGTAATTAAGAAAAAAAAACATTTCTTCCCATCTTGGATGGGAAGAAAGCATATCTTCCCAGCTTTGCTTTTAAATTGAGTTTTGCTCTCAGCAGGCTGCACCATTTATTAAAGGCATAAAGGCTCTCATTTGTCAGGCCAATGCTCAATCCACAGAGCCACACCAGCCCAGGTTAAAGGCAGCAAAACTCTTTGTCTCTAAACTTTTAGAGTTGTCTTAGAAGGAATCATGGACTGCTGTTGATGTCTGCTTTTCATCTCAATTTAAATATGATTTTATAATAGGCTTTTGTTTCAATGTCCATTTGTTCTTTAATGATAATAGTAATTCCTCATGACACCGAAATTCAGTATAGTGAAACCTAAAAGAAGAATTTATAGGTACTTATTTAATATATGGTATCTGTTGACTGAATCAGAGGAATAAGCATATCTCTTGGTTGATGTTCTAATAAAAGGACTCCTTCATTTGTTGCTATATTTCATTTTTTATTTTTCTCTGTTCTTTCTTCTTCAGTTCCTATGACTTTGCTCATTTCCCAAAGTCCAAGCCTACTACCCACTAGACAATATGGGGAAGGAGGATTGGCAAAAATTGGCTGATGTAGGCTTGTTATTTTTCAGTTTAGTGCTAGTATTAAACATGTAACTCTCAGACTTCAGGCCAAGATGGAGGCATAGGTAGATACACTTTGTCTCCTCACACAATCAGAAGAAGGACAACAACAAACTGAAAACAAAAGACAACCAGAACTGCCAGAAAATCAAACTGTATGAAAGTCCAACAACCAAGGAGTTAAAGAAGAAACATTCATTCAGATTGGTGCACAGAAACAAAGAAATATGGCCCAAATGAAAAAAACAGATCAAGCTCCAAAAATAGAACTAAGCAACAAAGAGATAGCCAATCTATCAGATGCAGAAGTCAAAACACTGGTAATCAGAATGCTCACAGAAATGGTTGAGTATGGTTGCAAAATAGAGGAAAAAGTGAAGGCTATGAAAGTGAAATAAAGAAAAATAGACAGGAACCAATAGTGAAGGGAAGGAAACCAGGACTCAGATCAACAATCTGGAGCAGAAGGAAGAAAGAAACATTCAACCAGAACACAATGAAGAAATAAGAATTCAAAAAAAATGAGGAGAGACTTAAGAACCTCCAGGACAACTTTAAACATTTCAACATCTGAATCATAGGGGTCCCAGAAGGAGAAGAGGAAGAGCAAGAAATGGAAAACTTATTTGAAAACATAATGAAGGAGAATTTCCCCAGTCTGGCAAAGGAAATAGACTTCTAGGAAGTCCAGGAAGCCCAGAGAGTCTCAAAGAACTTGGACCCAAGGAAGCACACACCAAGGCACACCATAATTATATTACCCAAGATGAAAGATAAGGAAAGGATCTTAAAAGCAGAGAGAGAAAAGGAGACAGATACATACAAAGGAGTTCCCATAAGACTCTCAGCTGATTTCTCAAAAGAAAACTTGCAGGCAAGAAGGGGCAGGAAAGAAGCATTTGAAGTCATGAAAGGCAAGGGCATACATGAAATATTGCTCTATCCAGCAAAGCTATCATTTAGAATGGAAGGGCAGATAAAGTGCTTCCCAGATAAGGTCAAGTTAAAGGAGTTCATCACCACCAAACCTTACTATATGAAATGTTAAAGGGACTTATCTCTTAGATAAGAGATAAGAAGATCAAAACTATGAACAGTAAAATGACCACAAATTTACTACTATCAACAACTGAACCAAAAGAAAAAAAAAAGGCAGAAACAAACTAAGCAAACAACTAGAACAGGAACAGAATCACAAGAATGGAGATCACATAGAGGGTTATCAGTAGGGAGGGAAGAGAATGGCAGAAAAGGTACAGAGAATAAGAAGCATAAATCAGCCCTGGCTGGCATAGCTCAGTGGATTGAGCGCGGGCTGGGAACCAAAGTGTGCCAGGTTCAATTCCCAGCCAGGGTACATGCCTGGGTTGCAGGGCATAACCCCCAGCAAACACACATTGATTCCTCTCTCTCTCTCTCTCTCTCTCTCTCTCTCTCTCTCTCTCTCCCTCCCTCCCTCCCTTCCCTCTCTAAAAATAAATAAATAAAATCTTTAAAAAAAAAGAAGCATAAATCGTAGATACAAAATAGACAGGGGTGGGGTTAAGAATAGTATAGGAAATGGAGAAGCCAAAGAACTCACATGTATGATCCATGGACATGAACTAAGGCAGGTAGGGGGAATGCTGGTGGGAGGGGTGCTGCAGGGCAGAGGGAAATAAAGGGGTAGGGGGGAATGGGACAACTGTAATAGAATAATCAATAAAATATACTTTTTAAAAAAACATGTAACTCTCTTAGAATAATCCCAAAATTAAGGGAGATTCCCCTTTCTGCTGAATCTTACTT